TTCCTTTACCCCTATCAAAGCCTTCTCCTATAAAATATAATCACAAGGTGAGATAAATATCTTAGTAATATAATAACTCACAATTATTGATTAATATGCACAACTATAAATAAATAAAGCTTATACATGCAAAGATACACTACACATAACCAAACAAAAGCATTTCCATATCCATAAATTATTTTCACACTCTAGCATGATCATTCTACTATTCGAACCTTCATATCACACTGACTGAAGCCAAAGGCTCTATTACCAGAGGCTCATGCATGTTGGCCCTAGGCGTACCCTGATAAATAGCAATTTTATATATTTTTATTATTTTAATTTAGACTTTTAAATATTTATTTGAGATTAATTGAGTTTAATTAGATATTATTTGATTTTATTAGCCAATATTCAGTTTTGAAATTTTAACTATCTAAATTTATGATTTTAAAATATAAATGATATCTTTAATATTTATGCACAGGTTCTATTTAATTTTATTTTATTTGTGCAGATTTTCTAGATTTAATTTAAAAGATATTGATAGAGATTATTTTGGATAAAAAGAATATGGGCATGCTTAGAGATCAAATCAAGAATTAAATCTTTAAAATTTTGTTTAAATTTATTTTGGGTTATTTAGTGTAGTTTTTAATTTGGGTTATTTAGAGTAGTTTTATTATTTTGTTATTAGCTTTTCTTCGCCGCACGCAAATGCATCATCCATTCTACATATAAAGGGAATAGCACGCACAGGAGGCGGCACTGGACGGTGAAAAAAATCAGAGAGGAATCAAAGAATCAGAGGCGACGCCGCAGTTTTATTTTTAATTTCATGGAGAGCTAAATTTTTAATATAATCAATCACAAAATGATCTTAAATTTTAATTAGAATTTTTAATATTTAAAAAAAATTTTATTTTAACTTTATTTTAATTTTCTCTTCTCTCTACCTCTGAATTTTATGTTTTAATTGCTATTACTGATTTGAGTAATTTTACTGTATAATTTGAGTTATAAATTTTATCTGAGGTTTTATTTGCTATAATCGATTGATATAGTAACTTGAGAGTAATTTGGCTTGACTTGAGTGATTACTCTTGCTTTGTTTTTGGTGTGGCTAATATAAAACAGTTGTTAAGTTGTGGGTTAAGAGAGATTTTAATTAATCTATAACTTAATTTCTTGTTTAATTCTTGAATGATAATTTGAGAAATATATAATAAAACTAGCATAATAAAGTTAAATAAAATTAATTTAATTTGTGGACGAGAAAGGTTAAGTTTAAGTGATTGGATTGTGCTTGGTTGCGTTGCTTGTTCTTAATAATTTTCTCAGTTGAATTTTCTTTATTTATTTAATTTTAATTTAGATTTTTTTAATTAATTTCATTATAAAAATCCCCCCACTTTTAGCTTTTCATAATTATAATTCAAGTAGTTACTCTATTAACTCTTAGGAGACGACCTAAGTTGCGCTGTATTACAAAATTTAATTTTTATTAATTTTGGTGCTATTCAATAATAGTGTCACACCCACTTTCGGATTGTAGTTTCTCCCTACCACACATGATCGGGGTGTCATTATTTTAACACCACATTACACTGATGCTAAGAAGCATATATCTATAATACCATACCCTACTTGGGCACTAAGAAGAGGATTCTCCAATGCCATATCTATATAGGCACTAAGGAGAGGAAATCTCCAACGCCATGCCCTGCAGGCATTAAGGAGAATATATGTTATATAAACTTTTACTACTCCTCCCTATGGCTAAACTCCCACCTCTTAACATAATCATGCTCACCATTTCTCATATAAACCACTTGTTTGTATCAAATATATATATTTACTTATAATACAAATACTTTCATAATTTCATTGTTTTAAAATCATTTTCCATGTACAAATACTCTTTTCACAACATGTAACATTTTCAAAACAGAGGAATGTAACATTACATCTTTACTCACAAACAATTAATCAATTCATCAAATAGAGTGAACTATTTAGTTATATCAAATCTTTTGTCATAAAAAGGGTTGCCGTGGTCAAATAATAGCTTCACAAGTGTCTACTTGCATAACAACACCTGATCAATGTTTAATTTATAAGATTAAACACTAACCAATAATTATAACTCTAATTAAACCCCTTTTTACTAAGTTTTAGGTACCCATCATGCCCAAAATCTTATTTTAACACCACCAACACTCCTAACATACTCAATTAATTTCATTTAATACTCAACTACTCAAATAACAATAATTTTCTACCCATATTGCTCCCAACTCTCAAATTTCACTTAGGGTTCGTCCAAATCCTAATAAAAAATCTCAAATCATTACAAAATCTCAAACTAAGGTTTAGAAACTTGATTTAATTCTCTAAGACTCTATTTAAGCCAATGGATTTGGCCAGAACCCAAGAAAAAAATGAAATCACATTCCAACCACACCTAAAACTACAAAAAATTTGCATAAAAGAGAGGGGGGATGTGGAGGAAGATTAACAATGTGAATTCCAAGCTCAAAATGCCTCTAAAATCACCTAAGAATGAAGCCTTAGTAGAGCCAAGATGATCTCTCTTTGTTTCCTCTTCCTTTCTTTCTATTTTCTATCCTTACATATAACTAACTTATGTAGATGGCACAACGAAGCCCAGATTGGTTTTAAGCCTCACTTGATGCCCCATCCTCTCGAACTCCAATTTAGGCCTCCTTTAAGGCTATCCAACATTTCAAAAACTATATTAATAATCCGAAAACATTATTAACTTATTATCCTTTTAAACACCTAAAACTTCAAAGTTGAAAACTCATGATGTTTCAGGTGCTTTAGAGGTTAGATGTAGGCTCATGTGGATAGAGCTAAACCAGTATAGACTATCTTTGCAAAGCTTTTCTTCCATACTGTCAACTTTGTTTGGTAATATCATTCCTTATTTAATTAACGCAGTTCACCCCTCTTTAGGAGGATTTTACATAGTAATATTATATTAGAAAAAAAGTTAAGCATTAATTACAAAGATATCTTAATCTAAATTTTTCAATTTTAGACCTATAATTTATTAAGGTTAACTAATTGACTTTCTTAAGTTATGTACAGGGGTTAAAAATTTACTTAGATTTAAACATGGAAGGGCTATATCGTTAAAAGAAACTTGATGCCAACAATATTTAAAAGAAATTAACAAAAAAAAAACTTTGAAAAGAGATAAGAGAGATAAAATCATAATTATATGTAGAAATTAAGAAGAAATTAATATACAGGGTTTGAAACTAGTGTTAATAGCTAGAGGGTTCAATGAGCTATATGAGGATACTTGAATCATTCAAAACAGATGTCAGATGGAAAAACGAAAAAACTCTAAAAGTTGGCCGGAGGAGTTGTCATGACAGCAGAACTATTATGAAAGCAGGAGTGTGTCATGACACACTACAAAGAGAGAGACGTAGTCCCTCTATGGTGCCATCGGTTTCGACAATGAAGTAATTTGGAAGGTGTTCGAATTGCCCTATCTTGATTTATAGTAGGATTCTTGTTCTTTTACTTTCTCTATTGTGTTTTACTTGTTTTAAACTCTAGTTTGAGTTCAAACATCTTTTCAAAAAGAGTTTTTGGAGATGCCAATCTTTTCAACTAATTTTTAAACTCTTGTGTTGTGATAACGTTATGTAAAGAATTAATTAATCCTGATTATTATAACAGTGTTTTATGCTCGTGTGCTGTATTCTGGTAATGTTAAGATGGACATTATAACACCCTTAAGATTTCTCATTGTATATACCAAGATTAAACCAAGCTTTTAGTTGCAACAATATAGCATAGACTTCTTACTACGTCTAAGACTCTCCCTTTTGCAAATGTGATTACAAATCCTTTTAAGTTTTCTAAGCTTAAGTTACTCTAATATGAGTGAAGTACAAAGATGAACAGGATAGATTTAATAATAAATAACTACTATAACAAAAACTCTTTCTTTAGAGTGAATATACAATCATTGAAGTACAGAAATGAATGCATGTAGTTGGCTCAATAACTTCTCTTTTTTTTGCTTTATAAATGAGTCATACTTATAGTTGATCTTTAAAATAAATCTGTTAGACTCATAAATTAGCCGTTAGAGCCTTCATCTTTATTGCTCTGTGTTTTTCACACTTTGAGGCAATAAAACAGTGCTTTTCGGTGGGTTTGCGTGTTGTTGGCGCCTCAAGGAATGTAACGACTATATGCATTAAATGCCAGAACAAAAGTAGACAAGATTGACACCATTAGGATAACTTTGATACAAGTATGAGAAAAGATCAAGATAAGAAAAGTGTTAAATCAAACTCATGATTGTGTTTAAAAGAAATCTTGGATGATAAAATAATGAACACAACTGAAAGAATTAAGGTTTGAATGAGGTAAGAGTGATCAAAGGATGCTCTATTTTGTATACCAAAAAACAGGGCAAAAATTTTCAAATTGATACTAATAGGAAGTCTTTGGTATTGGTATGAATATGAAAGTTTGACAAAGAAAGAGATTGAGTCTTATACAGGTATGAATCAATTTATACTGGATGAACATCGTAAAAGACAATGTTTAGATACATTTGATGTGGGCATGAAGAAGTTTCACAAGGGTAATCATATGAGTATAAAGCACATTAATACTGGTATGAAACAATGATTTGTAATAACCCTGCATTTTAAATTTAACAAAATGTTTCTCCCAATGAATATTTTATTTAAAAAATTTTTATAAATCAAATAGAAAGTGATAGTTTAGTGAAATTTGTGCTAGTTAATATTTATGAAAATCAAGAGTTCAAATTGTACCAAGCAAAAGTTTTATTTTTGTTTGTTTTTTTAAATATAGAAAAAAATTGTGCCTTCTTTTATAATTTTCTTGTGCTCTCTTTTGTAACTTTTCCATGTGCTATTCCTTGTAATTTTTCCAACTTGCTAATGTTCAGATTTTTAAATGATTCTTCCCGATCATTCGAGCAACAGAGCAACGAGAGAGAGAGAGAGTTTGAACTTTCCATCCTTCTCACCGTCGATCTACATCTCTGAACCTCGCCTTCGTTCTTCCGTTCTCCCCTCACCGTCGGCAGCTTGTCATGATCCCTTTCTTTCTGCTGTTCGTCCGATGGCTGAGGTGCGTGATTCAGTTTTTTCTATTTTTTTTTTGGGTCTGTTCGTCTGTTCAAATAGAGCTATGGTTGAAGCTCTTCTCTTGTCTCCTTTCTCGTTTACTCTCTTTGTGGCCTGTTCATCTCTTCTCCACTGAAGATCTACCGAGATTTGGCATTGTCTCTCATCCCCTGTTTCTGTTGCTGTCATACTGTGTTCTATCAGTGGTGTGGAATGAGCGTGTGCTGGGTTTTGTCTCTTCTTCCCCCTCTGCTATTCGTCCCTTTCTGTCAAAAAGGTTTTGTGCGTGTGTGGTAGCTCGATTCCTTCTTTTGTTGGAAAAAAATTGTTGGTTTTCCATCTTCTCGTTCGTGTAGCAAGCTGAAGTTCTTTTTCCTCTCCTGCTGCAGCGTCGGTCGCGGGTTGATTTATAGTGTTGGCTATTGCGATTTCGTTTGAGGTGAGTGGATGACTTTCTCCTTCCTCTTCGAGTTATATGATAGCACCGAATCATCCTTTCCCTCCTCTGGCCAATTGATATGTTCCTGTTTTTCATTACTGCTGTTGTGTTTTTAAGAAGGATTAGGGTGTTGTTTTGGTTAGTGCTAGAAGTTATTTAATTAAGAGGTTGAACTAGAAAAATAACTATGGAATTGAATCTTGGAAGATGTTGAACTTTCTTGGATGTTTGTCTTATGACTTAGTCAATGGAAAATGCCTTCAAGGTGCTTGTTAAAATGATTGAGAGAAGAATTTAAGGAATGAATGTGGTTAAATTTTCATTTTTAGAGGAACATGTGCAAGGGTAATGCCTATTGGAAATCTTAAGCTTTTGGTTGTTAATTTTCTTTCCTTTTACTGGATGTGATTCCAAGGCTAGGTTGGGATGTATTTTAGAATATTTAGTATTATTGATGATGTTTGAGTAGAGCAAGGGAGTTTGACTCAAGAATTAAAATACGACGATAAACTAGTAGTAATGGAATTTGGATTTTGTGATATTTGAATGTTCTCAAGATGGTTGCTTAAATACTTAAGAGAAGAGTAAGGTGTCAATTGATTACTATAATTAAATTGTAATTCATGGACAAAGACGGAGGAAATTTATATGCTGGTTTAAAAGTTTATATTGATAATGAGAAAATTTTAAGAATTATTATTATTATCGGATTTAAAGAATTTGGAAGAGGGTGTGGTTGGAGATAGTTGATTTAAGAACAAACAAGGTTTTAGGAAATCTTGTGGATATTTACATAAAGCACAAATAGATTGGTTTATAGTACATAAAGTTTAGTATTATTAGTTTGTTGGTTTGTTTGATTAGGTAATTAATTAGTGGCACTATGGAGTATAAGTGAGAAGCTTAGAAAGGGAGCAAGCCATAGAGATATTTGGATACGTGAAAGGTGAGTGAGTAGTGTCCTAAGTAATTATTTTTACAAAGTCGTTAAAAAAAATTTCATTATTTAAATTTCACGTTATTCTTTTATAAGTTGTATAAATATTGTTGTCAATTCTAATTTTATGGTTCATACAATCTTTTTTATTTACTTCACTTTTATATTAATTGATTTATCATTGAATCTGCTTTAGAATCATTAAGAATTATGCTATTGTTAAGGAATATTTGGATTCGGAGCATTATTAATCGAATATTTATTGTAAACATTCCTATTTTTAAAATTTATTATTTATGTTACAGTTATTGATACGGTGATTCGTGCATGGAGAAAATTGAAAAGAAAATTCAAAAGTTGAATATTATGTTTTGAAAAGAATAGTTTTCAATGAATGTTTCAACTCCATGCACGCTTGATTTAATTAGGGGGACTGAGTTCAGAACGCTGGATGCTAACGGCAGTTCCATTGGCCCTTGGCGCGCCATGGTACACCCAGCTAGCAGGGTGCTTAGGAGGTGCTAGCCCCGTGCGATGGCCAACGCATGTGGAATGGAGGAACGGTTGTTCATGAGCATAGTACTAACGCTTGTTTTCGCCGACTTTATGCTCGCGCTTGTTTTCGTGACCTTGAGCCGCGCTTGTCAGTTAGTTACCCTCGTGGACTGTGTGTCCACACTTGTTGGTTACTTATTCTTGTGGACTGTGGTCCACGCTTATTAATCGTTCTGATTGAATCACGCTAAAAGAAAAAAATTTAGAAATTATTATTTTTAAGTTTTTTTTTATCAAACTGTTATTTGATTGTATATGATTTTATATTGTAAATTCGCCCTATATTGGACTTAAAAAAATTTATTGTTAGTTAAAAAAATTTTGTGTTTAGTATTCCATTGATTTATTTTAAACTAAATTTTATCAATTTCTACCTTTACATGTGTTATCTATAATTTTGATTGGGACGCTACTCACCAAAAAATTTTTGGTCACAGATAATGTAAATGATCCTGCACCTCTTGCTTATCACTAAGGGACTTTATCATTTTTGCAGACGACGGAAGCACGCTTCACTCATTTATTCTACTGTAAATATTCATTATATTATACAATAATAGTTAGTGCTCCACGTATACTGTAGTTATGTTCTATTCTTATTTTATTGTTGTGAAATCTACTAGTGTGAAGCTAAATTCCCCTTCTGGTTTGGCTGACAGTTTTTTGTTTTTTGTTTGTTATTATAAGAATTTTGGGGAAGTCCTAATTTCAGAGGAAACTTTGCCAAAATTTTTACAAAATAGTGAAAACTTTATAAATTTTAGATTTAGATGTAAATTATATTGTTACTTTGAATAAATTTTTTTAATTATTTAAGGCTTATGGAATGTGAGTCTATTTTATATTCCATGCCGGTCACGCCTTAAATACTAGGGTGTGACATGATTAGTGAGACAAGGTTTATTACAGTATGAAGAAACAAACTGGGGTATCAAATTGATGATATTGGTCTGAAATTTTTGAAAGAACAAAAGACTTTTTCATATGGGTATGGCCTTGGAGATAGGGGTATGAGACCTTGGATACCGGTATGAATCAATTCATTCTGGTATGAACAAGAAAGCTTAGCATAGAAAGTTTAATATATTTCATGCACAAACTAATATTGTTGAAAGAGAACTGAGATAAATCAAATATTTATCTCTCAATGCTTATTTGAGAGAAAAAAAAAAGGATATAGTTAGGACGAGAATTAGAGATTTCAGCTTACAATCCAAACTTTTTAAGTTTTCAAATACAGATAATCATCTGCAAAATAAACACTTCTCTATTTTGTAATAATCAAAACTAAGTTCAACATACTATCCATATGAAGGGCAATTTAAAAAATGTACAAAAAAAAATATTTCTTGATTTATAGTTCTGTTTATAAAAAATAATTAACGTATGATAACTTTTTTTTGATAACATAAAACGGAGGGTGTGTATGCGACTTATCACTCCTCTTCTCTCCTGCCTACAGTTTTTTGTTTTTTGTTTTTTGTTTTTTGTTTTGTTTTTGTTTTGCCCTAATAAAGCTTGTAGTGCTGAATTGAGCACTTCAATTCGACCATGCTTTTTTCATTTCTGTCCTCTTTCTTTTTCCTGGAAATGGAACACGTTTGTTTGATAATTTAATGGGGACCCCAGAAAAAGAGGGGGGGGGGGGGGAACCAACCCCAAAGTCTGTAAAAATGGGCAGTCGCAGGCCGACTGAAGAGAAAGTGACAAAACCATAGTATCCTGATTCCTGAAATAAGTATTGGTGATGGCTCTGATAGAGGTTCTCTTTCCTTCATTTATTTTTGCTTCATACTTGAATTGCTCTGGATCCTATAGCCAGCTACCTCCCATTCCAGTATCGTCTCCTAGCCTGTGTCTGTCAAACTATTTCTCTCTCTTCTCCAGAGCATTCTCAGGATATCTAGAGGGAATATATTCTCCCTCCCTCCCTCCCTCCCTCCCTCAAGTCCTCATCGTGCTGCGAGAAACTAGCAGGGTCGAAGAAACGACCATGGACTCCTGAGGAAGACCGGAAGCTCATGTCTTACGTACATTTAGCAACATGGCCATGGAAGGTGGTCTTTCTTGCCTGCAAAAGCTGGTAATCATAGTTTCCTACACCAAATCTTTTCATTCATTGCTCTACTGCCCCTTGTTTCACGCGCGCGCACACACTGATAACCGCCTCGTAGGTTCTTGTTTCTTTTTTACAATGGAATGGTAGATGATAGTAACATTTTATCGGAGACTTATCGGTTAAGGAAGATGACTAATGTCAGCAGTTAGTTGTTCTAGTGGCAACCCACCGCCTCCCTCTCTTTAGAAAAATGAGTAATGCGTTTTATGTTTTGACTACCAAAAGGACTCCAGAGATGTGGGAAGAGTTGCAGACTGAGATGGATAAATTACCTACGACCTGACATCAAATGAGGCATGATCAGTTTACAGGAACACCAGACCATCATTCAACTTCATGCTTTTCTTGGAAACAATCATAAATCCCACAGATCCCCACTTTTTCCTCAAATGTTCAATTCTTTGAATGAATGAATGGTCAACGGTCATGATTATATGTATATATATGATTCCTAAATGTTTACAGCTTCCCTGACACCGATGACCTCGATTCGCCGGCATTATTATTATTATTGTTTTTAAATATTGCTGGCATTATATGTATTTCTGTACGTAGAAGTATTAAGCAGATGATTGATTCATTGAAGGCTTGAGTATGAAAACAACAGTAGGCGCGTAATATTTTGCATCAAGTTATGAAAGTTTGATACAATCTTGTATGGCCCTGCATACACCTAGGTCTTATAATTATTTATTGTTGTCCCTCAGCATGCATGTATGTAAGAAGGAATTGACTTTGGTGCCCAAAGTATTTGGACTATATTTAAAGTACTCTTTCCATCCTAAATTATAAGACACTTTTAATAAAATTTTACATATTAATAAATATCGTTAAATACATTAACAATCTTATCTTTTCAAAATAAAAATAAAAATTTAAAAAATACTCATAATTTAATATATTAAAAAGAGAAGGGATGAAAATTAATCATAAAGGGAGAAAGAGTAATATTAAAATTAGTACATTTAATGAAATATTAATCTATCCAAAGTATTTTATATTTTAAGATGGAAAAACTCTTTCAAAAGTGCCATATAATTTGGGATAGAGGGAGTATTATTTTATTTTATATTTATAAAAATAAAAATTTAAAAAATTATAAAATAATTTTAATAATTTTTTTTATTTTTAATCTGGTCTAGATTTAATATGGAGTATCCAATTTAATATTAAAATTTTTATAATTGCTACTTCCTCCGTTCAAAAATGTAAGGCATTTTCTTAGGAGTTGAATGTTTAAAAATATAAGATATTTTTAATCTTTTAAAGTATAATCATTGCTTTTTTTTTTAAAAGTTTCTCTATTGATAATGAATTTATATTTGTTGTAGAGTGTTTAATAGGGGTAAATATGAAAAGATAGGGTTATTTAAAAAGTAGGTAACTATTTTATTGAGAGGTAAAATTTGGTTAAAAATGCCTAACATTTTTAAATGGAGAGATTATATATTAGCTATCTAGATAAACTCTATATCCAAATTTAATATATTAAATTTGGATTGTATAGAATGCATTTGGATAATCAGTACATAACAATTATAAAAATTTTAATATTAAATTGGATCCTCTAAATTAAATCTAGATCAGATTAAAACTAAAAAATTTATTAAAATTATTTTATAATTTTTATTTTAATAAATATAAAATAAGAATATATATACTTTAAATTTGGACTATTCAAATTAAAATCTGAATGATCTAGATATCATCAAGGTGAAGAGCACCATAGTGCTCATCCCCTTATTAGCACAGTGGACGGACCCATGTAAGAATTAATTAATATTGCCTCGTATTTTTTATATCATTTTTTTGGCGCTATTTTTGAAGTTTTTTTTTTTTTTTCGAGGAGCTTTGGGACTTATGGATGGATATGTTGGTTACAAAAGAAATGAGTACACTACAAACCTGGACAAAAAAAAAAAAAGTACACTACAAACAAAGAATGAAATTAAGAGACAAAAAATGGTTTAAATTGCGTCGTATTCTTCTTGTTTTATTTTTAACCTTCAGTAGTGTTATTCATTCAGCAAACGTTGATTACAATGAATGAAAATAATTATAATTATAATAAATGTCATGATCAACATAAACAATGTACTCCCGCCATTTCTGTATATGAAAAAAAAAACTATACCACATAATTTAAAAAGTCAATAACCATAATAATTATGTTTGAAAATAAAAAATTAGACTAAAATGCCCTATGTTAATCAACATAAGCATACATTAATTATTTTTCATTAATGTAAATTATAAGGAGTGATTTAGAAAATATATAATAAATACTTATTGAAGTAAGTGATTTTGTTTATATAATAAAATAAGTAACAAGTGATAGTTTTTCTAACAATAAAAAACTAAAGGGCATAGGAAACTACGGTAAATAAAAAAAAAAATCACAAATTGATTACATAAACTCCCCAAGATCTCCTTGAGTTTGCTCGTCAACATGTGGCTTAACTTGGACACTTCATAGAAACTTGGGAGAATTTTACTATAAAGTCTCGTAAAAAAAAACATGAAAATGCAATAAACTCACAAAAGGTTGAAATATAGTCTCAACTTTTTCTTTAATAATATAAATATATTTTACACTCAGTTATACTAGCATCCCCTTATATCATTTTATTAAAAAGCTCAAGCCTCCGGCCACCGTCACCTACTTTCCATGTACTGTGATACACGGTGATGGAGTTAGATATCTATCAAATTAAACTTGATAATCTCTCTCTCTCTCTCTCTCTCTCTCTCTCTCTTTCAGTGTGTCTCCCGCACTGTTGCTATCAAGTTCACACTCAAAAATTTGAAAAAAGAAATATCAGAATCAGTATTGATATGATCGTATAAAAGACAATAAAACAAAATTAAAAAAAAAAACAAATTCGATGGATGTGGAAACGAAGGGATATCGCCATTCACAATCATAAAGGATGAGATCAGTCTAATAAAGTAAAAAGCAGCAGAAGGCGACACAGGATCAAATTAGAAAGCTGAAAGAAGATGAAGATGCAGAGAATTGAATCAGCAAATTGATGGAGAAAACGCCGCATGCGCTTACCAAACATGCCCAATCAAAGTCTAGCACTTTCAACATAGGTTATACAGCCGCTATAGTGAATAATTTTATACGTATTGTGGCTAGGAAACCGATGTCGAAAGATATTAAAATATTTAAAAATAATATCAGTATAAAATTTCAACATCGATTGGAAAGAATAACCGATGCTTGGTTATGAGTAAATTGTAAAAACTATTAACTATAAATTGGTCCTTGAGTGCATGAATGAAGCCATGAAGCAATCCTTCTTGACTTCACAATTTCTTTCCTAGAGTTACTGTTCTTTTATCGCCACATTATTCCATTCCTCTATCATGTGATGCAGGCAAAGAAATTTGAACATAGCACCTTTGCTTGATGAGATGCACAAATCATGGAGATGCCTATTGTAACACTAAAATTTCATATTGATTTTTTACAATCCTATGATATATTTAATTGAAATAAAGTTGTTAAATACTTACCATGATAAAAAAAGTATACTATAGTAATAAATAATAAAACATACTTTTTAAAACACTATCAGGGTAAATAAAAATTTACGCAAAAAAGATTTTAATTTAGACATTTTAAAATTTTACTATGGTAGAAAAGAGA